GTTCCTATCATCTTCCAGGCAGCAGCTGCCAAACAGAAAATTGGGGTGTGGAGAGAAGCAAAGGCTAAAAAACAGAAGTGTCAAACAGATTACCCTGACACATAAGCTTCTCTCACAAGCAGTAGCACTGGGAGGGATACAAAATTCCTAACATTCTCAGCTGGCAAAGAGCAAATGGAAAAATGTTGTGCATGAAAGCCACTATCAGATACCATTTAGCATTTCATAACCTGGAGTAGTTTTCCCTTCATACCTGAAGACTGAGATTCCAGTTCTCAGGATTCACAAGCTGAATAAATCAGGAAAGATCTGTCTCTGACCTACAGGTATTTTTTTGCTAGCTAAATTGAAGAAGATATAGATAGATAGATAGATAGATAGATAGATAGATAGATAGATAGATAGATAGAAAGAAATGAAGATTTTTCTCAAATATGTAAGAATTCTTAAAGCAAAAAGGAAAAATCCAACATTTTTTATAACCTTTTGAAGGTATTTTAAATAAGCAGAAAACAAATTTTTGCAACATCACAGAAATGACCTGTGATTAGCCCTTCTGAAGTTTTACAGTCATTAAACAAGGGGTGCAAAAGACACTACACCTATACTGCAGCTCACTGTCAAGCTACATGATAGAAGTCTGTTGAAGCTTCAGAAAAAACACATCCATGTGCATCTCTTAAATGATTTACCATGCTTTACGCTGACTCTAAAAATAGTAAAAATAACATATTCACTTACAAGCTCTAATGCCCCTGGTGCTCTCAAACGCACATACTACCATATCACTTGCTGACCTTTGCAGCATGCAAACATCAGCTCACTACAGGAAGGTCCTTACACCACATACAAGGAACCACCTCCACACTGGACTAAGCTGAGGGTCAGAGAGTCATCAGAGTCACCTATATAAAACAGTAGAGCAAAATTCAGGCCATGTCTTGACTGTGAAAGTAATTCAAGTAATTGATAGTTGCTGTAAAGTCCTCCCAATTCAAGTAGTCTGGTTTCAGAGGAAGCATCCATACGCTCAGTGATTAGATTGCTCAGTTTAGGTGAAACGTCCCAGTCAAGACTGCGGCAAAGTCCTCCCCTCAAGGAGCATTTTCACCTCCCACCTCGTGACACTGTCTCTGAATCAGCAGGACAACTTTAAAAAAAAAAAAAAAAAAAGCCCACAACTCAGGGTAATTCCTATCAAGGTTTAAATTGAGCTCAAGTAATTGAGGTTCCTTCTATTAAACAAAATTAAAAATCCCAGAGTTCAACACAGTAAATTTAAAAAGGACAAAGATAAATTTTCCTGCCCTAGAAACAGGGCCCTCAGGCTCCCTAACTATTTGCTACAATATTCCTCAGCTGGCAAAATGGAAAGCTGGCAGCCACCCAAGGTATTCAGACAAAGAACTGCAATTAGAAGCTACTTAGGGCACCATGAACCAAAATATATGCTAATAAAAACATCATTAACTAACTTGTGAAGAGACTTCTTAGGGGAGCGAACCTTTGCTAACAGTAACATAATTGTCGTGCATTTAAATCCTGGAGTGCACAGCAACAATTTAAAGATGATGGGGGAAAAGTGAGATAGGGAAAAAAAAGTGACATTAGAAAAATAGTGTGGTGGAGGGAAAGTGACTCTGAGAAACAGAATAAAGCGAGTTTGTCTGATAGCACACCAACACAAAGCAGCTGGGTCCGCAGAGATCAGTACTTAGGCACAGATAAGTAGGGGGATTTTCTAAAAGTGTGCTGACAGTTTAAGATTCTCCCTACCCAAAAAGGGAAAAGGAAGAACATGATAGAAGGCTTAAAGAAGCTTTCGCCTCTTGTAATCAAGTACAATGTGAATTCCCCACAGCGAGAGCTGCTGGAGAGCCATGTACCCCTCCTCCAGGGTCTCCTCCAGGAAGCAAGCTGAGCATTCACTCCCAAGGCTCTAATTGAAACGCTTTTGATCTCCAGTTTTTGCTGTGTTATTGTCATTCTGCAGAAGTGATGGTTGCTTCTTATTGTCTACAAAATGGCAATTTTGGTTCCTTTTCTACTCTGCCTACAATTCCAAGTTTCCTGACACAACAGAAATATTGTAACTTATCCGTATGAATCTGAAGTTATCTGTTCTCCATGATCAGCCTCTGACTGGTTGGTCTGTATATTAAGATTCTTCAACTCAGCTGTTCCTACAAGCTTTTAAACCCAGCAATGACCAGCATTTCTGAAGGCTTGCAACATTACAAGCGGCTATCTGAATATCAATTTAATTCCTTAAGGGGGTGCTGAGTGCTTCCAGCTGGCTTCTCCGAGCACCTAGGACATGGCTCCTTTTCAGAAACAGCCACATGAATTTTCAGTTTCTCCCAAGTGACTGAAGGCAGCCAGGAGACACATGGGTTCTCACAGGGTATGCCTTAAATAAGGGCTTGTAACTAAGATATTTAAGAGTGGTTTCTCTAAACTCTCCAAGCTGGCAGTTTCCCAGTTTGTTGCCCAGAGAAACTCATGAAAAAGGAGAAACTCATGAACGAGGATCACGGAAGTGCTGCTGCTGCTGTTTCTGCCTGCCCGCTCTACCATGGTTAAGGTTTGAGCTTAACTTTCATGGCATAAGTGAGGCTTCAGTTAAATCTGACTCAGGGCTCTTCTGCTGTGAAGGCTCCATGTCAGCACATAGACACAGCACCAGCTGGCACAGCTGGGGAAGCACAGCACACCCCAACTCCAGAATAAGCACACCCAACTCCTATGCTTGGCCTTGCGTGTAAGAGAACGAAGCCAAACAAAAGCAATGTTGAAAGAGCAGGAAGTCCTAAACAATGCTATCAGCAGTGCAGACAATAGACAAAACTTCCAGACTTCAGCAGTGGAGCATAAAGCCTCAACAAAGAGCATGAGAAGGACAACAGCTCTCAGAGCAGACACACCACTCGGAAAACATCTATTAGTATACTATGAAAAACAGTAATAGGCCCACAGGTTGGGTTAGGCTGGAAGCTTTGGGTCATTACTGTTGTTCAGAGGGTAACAAGAAAGAAATTAGCAGGGGGAGACATTTGTTCTTGAATAGCAGATCAAAAGAAGCAACATATGACAAAGTAATCAGAATCCCAGATCAAATTAAAGTGAATAAACTACTGAGAAGCCTCATGGGTTTAGCTGTAAAATGGGGATGTTCTAGGACAGAGAATGACCTGGAACAGTGTGGACCTCACCTTAGAAAACCTGTCTGCCTCAGTACCTAGGACTCAACATCAATTCTGTTTACAGTATCACTCCAGTTTCCTGGAGTCCTAGTGAAGGATTGGGAATACATTGTGTAAACACAGAAGAAAAAGATGGCCCCTGGCCTAAAGAGGTTATAATTCATGATTACACATGAAAACCTGTAACATAACTTATCTGTAATAGATTCTGAAAAATTTAACATGGTTTTTGGTGGTCACTGCTCATCATTGTTGGACACCAAAAAAAAGGAAAGCAGATGTTTGAAAAATGATGAGCCTAAAAAAAATTGAGAGGAAACATAAGGGACTAGATGGGAAGGATGGATTTTGTGTCCAAGAGTCAGAGCTCAGTCACAGATTTCCTGCCTCAAATGAGGCATCATTTAGTTCAGTAAATATGGCTTTATTAATATTCACCTACTTTAAAAAAAAGCTTTGAGAGTCTTAAGACTATGTGAGAAAATAGATTAATACTTTTACCTAAATGTCAAGAACTGAGTTTTGTGTGCTGAAGAGCTGAAGGAAAAAAAAAAAAAAGCAAGCAGAGTGGGGCATTGGAGGGAAGACAGAGAGAGAATAAGCAAGGAAACTCAAACCATGGGAAAGAACACTGAACCTTTGCTACCTCTTGCAATAATTAGCCAGTTATCAGCTCCAGATCATGCAGAAATTGAACAAACAAGACTTAAGGGAAGGAATTATGCTATACTTCAAATATGTTTTTCAAGATCCGTTTTCCCATCATAAATAACATACCGAATCGCTGAAAGTCAACAGATTTCACCGGGGCCACTTTACATCATGCTGCACATTGTAAATAAAAGCACAAGCATTTCCTGCACTTAACAGCAAAAATCTTCATTGCCTGCAATTCACATACAAGTATGGAGAATAAAGTGGGATGTATCAGGACTGACATTACAGTCTGTATAAGCATCTCATTTTACCTCAACCTAACATGAGCATAGCTACATTTTTCTATGAACAGGAACAATAAAAATTCACAAGAAAGTCTGAAGATATTTTAAAATGTGTGCATGGTTTTTTCCATTTCTTTCAAACTTCTCAAGATAAATGTGGGTATATACTAAGAGAACTCTACAGTTCTACAGCATATTACTACATACTACCACATCGAGGCTATTAAAAGAAACAAATGACCAATCAGGTTTACATATAGTAAATAAGAACTAATGCCCACAAACTCTGTTATGGCTTTTTTGAAAATCCAAAGGAAAAGCTACTTAATTTGAGTAATTCACTTCACACACTTGAGAAATCAAGATGAAAACCCTAAGTGGTTCAAGGTTGCCAGTGCTAATTTCCAAAACAGTCACAGTGGACACAACCTGTGTCCATATTCAATGTCCCAACCCACGACAACCCCAGAGTCACCACCTAAGCTCAGACCACCTGCCAGCCCATGTGCTGGAAGTCAAGTGCTTTCCAATGCCAACAAAAGCTGCCACACATAAACCCAATGAAACCAGTGGGGAGCTGGAGACCACATGGGCACTGCCGAAGCTGTCTTGAAGAAAGTGGCTGACAGTTCACACCAGGCTAAGTGGTATGGTCAGCCTGCCTCTGCATTTTCCTCACCTGTGAAATGGGAACCTATATACTTGGTGACTGCCAACCACCTGCTTCGCAGAGCTTTGGAAAGATTCAGCAGGTTTATGCTTACAAAGTCTTCTGATGACGAAAGGTTTAGAAAAAGTATGCCAACACATTAAAAGAGACCAGGATAAGAAAGAAATACTGCAAAGTAATACTCACCCGTTCCTGACCAGCTGTGTCCCAGATCAGAAATTTATGAAGCTCATTCCCACAAGGCACAGTTTTAGTCATGAAGGATGCTCTGAAAAGGAGGAAGCAGCAGAAATTTATAACGTGACAGTCACTCTGGATATGTAACCTACAGAGCCTAGCCAGTTCTGTAGGGTTAGACTGCATATGGGAAACTCCAAAACCTTGATAAAATGCCTACCAGAAGTGAAAGACTCCCTTTTCTCAGATAAAATATATACCTATATATGTATTTTAAAAGAAGGGAAAAGCCTCTAAGGTTCAGAGGGCATTTCTGCATGGGCCCAGGAACACAAATGCTCCTGCTGTTCACATGTAGCTTCTGCTGCTAGCTAGTTCCATCTTCTCAGTGACATGGACTTGAGAAAAAGGCATCAGCCATCATCATACCAGGCAACAAATGTGCAACTTTTCAGTTAAAGGCAGAACACTGGATTACCATGGAACAGAAAAGTCACCTGTTGGAATGCATGTGGTGGACAAATGGAAAAAAGTTCTTCCCCCTCTCAGCTCAGATGAAGAAATCTTCATGGCTTCTTGTATTTTTTGTAGGAAATTAAATTTGTCTGTTTTCACAGCATGTTTTTTCTTCTTTTAGGTAAGAGGGTTACAAATTTATAGGGTTTTTTTTCCATATTACAGCATTTCAATTAAAGCTGGGTAGGAGAGACTGCTAAACTCTGGCAGATTTTTTATTTCCCCCATCCCACTTGGACACTACTGAACAATTACTGTTGTAGTAACTTTTTTCCTGGCTCATAAAGATGTATTTGATATGATACACTGTCATTACAAAAGCACTGAGTGACATATGACTGATTAAAACATTTCCTGAGAATGATATACCAGAGGTCTCCTCTACAGTCATCTGCAAATTGCTTGAATTTAACAATGGTGCATTGCTTATAAAAATATCGAGGCAAAAAATGTGTAGCATTTTCTCTGGTTGTTTTCAGGCTGTGTGCTTTCAGTTGTTACTCTCCTTCTCAAAGCATTAAGCAACACTTTAGAGCTTCAAAAACAGGAACAGCACTTACTGTAGATTGCAAGGATTATATATTTAAAACCTTATCTATATAGAAGAGTAATTATCACCTGTGTGCAAGCTAGCCATCATATTTTAATCTTCAAGTGGAAAAAAAATCCCTTTAATTTTCATAATTATGATAACAGAGGGAAATTATTTTTCTATTTGAACAGAAGACATTTATTTAGTAAAAACAACTACTTGGGGAAAAATGCCGATGGTGACTTAAAAGTAAAGAACCATTCAAGGTCCCATCAATTCCTTCACTGCAAACAAGTGCCCTTCAGTCAGTAATGTTATTCATTACATGCTTCCTTTCTCTCTGTCCATTTTTCTCTATTAATTACATTCAGGAGTCTAAAATTGTCCTGGAACTTCAATGGGCAACTTCCAGCTGAGACTCCTTCATGCATCAAAAGGCAGAGCTTTGGAAAGTATCATCTAACCCTCTGAACAACACAGAGCGATCAATAACAATCCACAGACAATCTAAAAGAGCTCTAACACACAAGTCAGATCAGCCCTACCCACCCGAATTACTCCTCTGTAAACATTAAATATTAGTGTCCTTTCCCGTAAGGGATCATGAATTTTCAAAATTTTCCAGATAATGTTGGACGTGGCAGATTTGTCCCTAACATATTAAAAGAAAAAATTTTGGAATCAAAATCAACTACAGGCTTCTGATGGTCCGACACATGGAAGCTTGACAGTTTTTAAAGAACAGGTACGAATTAATTATACTTAGCTTAAATTGCATTGTCCCTATTTTGAGAAAGGCCAGATAATGTAGCACATCCTAAACCTAGACGAAAGTATGTCCGCACACAGGAACAGACACTGCCCATGTTCCAGCCCAGCCTGGCAGGACACATAATGTAGGTACATTAAGGTCTCCCCATGGTTCTTTTACCATTACTCAGTTATGGGGTGCTCTAGTCATTGTGCAGATCATGGTCTCTTAGGTTGTGGGGTTTCAGTTCTTTAAGCTATGTGGATCAGATTTGATACCTCATGGATCAGTGGGAACTAAATTGATTTTAATCCTAAGGTCCTACGACCTAAAAACAACCCTAAAGTGTGAAACTCTTGACAAGACAAAAAGAAAATGTCACCAACTGAGTAAGACATCTAAGAATCTCTTGGTGTAAGATGAGTGAAGAAAAATGAAACAGAAGAGCTGGAAGTCAATAGCCATGCACAACACAAGTCAATACAATGTGGTTCTAGACCACCCCAGAAAAGAGGCTCTTTCAAGAGACACCATTCCCAGGAGGAGAACTGGCACAGCTCTGCCAATTTAGTTTAATTTTGTAAGTTTAGGGCATCTCTGTATTCCCAGAACAGGTAGCGCCGAGCAGACCTGGTTTGGGGCAGCCCAGGCTCTCTAAATAGGCAACATGAGCTGACTGGCATTAAAGAAGAGTAAAGAGTTGAATGAGATTGATAAGACAGAGAAAAAATTATATACAGTATTCAGAGCCTTCCAAAGTAAGGAAAAGAGAGTAGCTCAGCAGAGGGCAGCAAGTTAAAAAAATATATAGAAGTAAAATATATATTATGCATGGTACTTACCCAATAGTTGGGCTAATATTGTGATCAAAGTGGTCCTGGACAAATCGACAAACAATGCTTGATTTCCCAACCCCAGTATCCTGAAAATAAAGAAAAGCATGACAGTGAGTTCAGGAGACCCTAGACACCAATTCTTCACCTGAAGAAATAGTCAAATATTAATCTGTGAAATTAAATCATCTCTACTGGCAAGTAGGGCAGGTTAAACATTTCAAAAGAACAGCCAGCACACGGATTATCCTTTTCAAATGTCAGCATCGTGAGTGGAGCTCCCTGGTCCTCTTCCCAACACTCCTTTCTTCTCAAGCATTATTTTTTTGGGTGTGGATTTTATACTCCTGTTGCAAGGACTGCAGTACTTCAAGAATAGCCGTTTACATGTATGAGACAATTCTGTGCTTTCAAACACATGGTACATTACCCCACAAAGCCAGAGAAACAACTTCATTCAGGCCCGTTGCAAGGGTAGCCCGACTGTGCTTCCAAAACAGATTACTAACACCAACCTTTTAGTAGACAGACAGCACTAACTTAGTCGAACTAACTTTTAGCAGCAAGACAAGCAAGCCTGCTTGGTGGAAACTTTGCAGAGGGTTCAGGTGGTTTTGAAAAGGCAGGAATCCAAAGATTTGGATCCCTGGAGATGTGCAGCTATCCCTGTGCAGGTTGTGTTACCAGACTGCGTCGAAACAGCATAACTTTAAATGCAACGCAACTTGCTCTCTATACTGCAATGTGGCAGGCGGCTTCCATTTGCAGGAAGAGTCTTCCCCCATAACTACAGTACTGGGATAAAACTCAGAATAACAAGGGGGGTGGGGGGGTGGAGAAAGCTTGATATTTTGCAGAAATACTCTTTTAGGCATTTACAATACGAGCAACTTCCCCAAAATGCAGTATTTTTCGGTTTGCCTCTGTTATTTCATGAAGCCTTAGATGGTAGGTAGAAGAATTTAAATTGAATTACAAAGGAAGACAAATAGCAATATTGCTATGTCTACCACAGAATTGTAAAGATCCTCCTAGAGACAAAAAGGATGCCAGGAAATCGATCCTGACCTTTCCAAGACATTAACAATGACAGCCCAGGGTCCAATCTAACTCATTAAAAAGTCAATGGAAAGTTTTCTATTAATTTCATTGGATGTGATAGCAGGACTACCAGACTGCACCTGGTAGTTCCATTTGTATTCACATTTTAAGACACTTGACTAATTTACACAAACCTCAAAAACTACCAAGACAAGAGAATACAGTTTGTTGAGAGCACTACACATATAACTACATATTAAAAAAAAAAAAGCAGCCTTTGCCCAAACATGACTATATATAAAAAAAAAGCCTTTGCCTTTCCTGCAATCAATTTTGTATTTTATCTTCTTTTTGAATATGAAAGAAAAATAATGCTTGTATTTAGATTTCCTTTCACCATGCTTAAATGAAATTATCACCGCTGCAAGTGAAGTCTTTAGACAGCACTTACTAGAAAACCATCATTTAAACTCTTGTATTTAATTCAAAGCTGTCCTTAGTCATCTTAAAAGCCATCATAAATGCTCATACTACACAGACGGTTGTTTATCTACTGTGTTCAATCAATAGGAAAAAAAGATCAAAGGAGAAGCAGTGTTTAAAACCAGCCCCATAGTCTTTGATCAATACCAGCAACACATCTTGTTGCTATTCCCAAATTTTGCCTTCATTATCGATTCCAGCTGACATCTCTGTATAATTACTAGGCCAGGATGGCAGAACACTGAAAAAAAAAGAAAAAAAAAAAGTTCCTCTGTGATGAAACTGAGGATTCAATTATTATTCTGGACTTTTTTAACGTTGTGGAGAAACCAGAACTACCACTCACTGAGTGCAAAGAATTACATTTCCCTCTCGCAGGGACACAGTTTCTGCCACCGTGTTTGAAACAACACAGTGACTCCCGTGACCCAGTGACACTTAAGTTTCATGTATCTCCTTCAGCTCCCTTGATGGGTCACTCAGAAGGGCAACTGCAATTACAGCTCCTGAGCAAGAGGAGCCCAGCCTCTGGCAAGGATGCGACATCCACAAGTGTGGATTAAAGCTCAGCTCATTTTCCTGGAAGCTCCTACCTCTTCATCTTTCAGTTCATGTTCTTACTAATGTTTCACGCTAACATTAAAGGAACTTTCGAAGTTTCCATTGCTCTTGCAACAAGCACAGTTCAACTCAAGCTATGTCAGGCACACCAATATCGCTCAAGAAGCTTGAAGGTATTCTTACACTTTACTCCTGGGGCTGCTTGGACGACCAAGAGGGCTAAATTTACCCCTGGTGAAAGTTCAGTGAAACCAATGGATGCAGACCACAAATGAACATGTCTTTAGGATGACCACTGTTGCAGCCAGTGGCCAGCGCTTTCCAGGAGCCAGGCAATTTACTGCACCAAGGGGTTCAGCTGAAACAAGCCCTCCTAGCTTCTGTTTTGTTGCCTGGAGGATACAAACGGTCAGCTACCAGAGTATAATTAGAGCACAGAGGGGAAGGAAGTAAGAAAGAAAACGCTTCCCACTTAAGGCTGCGATTATCATTCCATCGCAGGATTTGAAACTACTTAGCCAGTTTTCAGTTCACATTACCATACCATCAAACAAGACACTCACCTGCCTGATAGCAAAGCAAATCATGGTGCATGAACACTGGACAACAACTTGCACACTTAGAAATCTTTTACCGATAACAGACCTTATCTTTTATTGACAATAGGGAACTACCTTTCAGGTTGATCTCACAGAATTCAAGGAAAGCATGATTGCTTCAAAGAAGCAGAAAAAGTATTCACTTCTCACCAATGCACCAAAATTAAACCTCCTTGATAAGGCTGTACAAAGCCTTCCTGCTACCATCCGCTTTGTCCTTTGCTGTTAAGGTCTCCCTCTAACATCCATTTTTCTAACATCTGACAGGGATGATCTCCCTTGTTCTGTTCCTTTTTCTTCAAAGGATTATAACAGACTTGTCAAGCCACATGCCTGGGTAGCATTCAGGCATGCAGATGACTTATTTTTCAGTTCTCAGATTTCTGCTTTTTGGCAGCTTTTTACACCCTCTAATCTGTTTTTCTTTTTCATTTTGCTCCATGTTGGTGTACATATAACATCAAACATACACCAAGGAATAACAAGGCTTATGTAAAAGGTCACAGCAGTATTGAGCTGAGTGGATTGGACAAGTTTCAGAGACTGAAAACATGTCCTCAGGAGTTATGTCACACTTTAGGGACCACATCCTGCAACTCCTCAGAAAAATCCATATTCACAGGAAATCCAAGGGCTTCAGCACTACACTGACTCATCACGATCAAGAGCAGACCACTACATGAAAGGAGAGACAAGAAAGGAATAAATATAATTATTCTGGAATTAAGGTGTTCAAAATGCATTTGATGAGTCACTCATGGGACCAACTGCGTGTTTTGCTTTTCTCCCTTCTTCTTCATAAGCCTCATAGCACACTTACAAAAGATCAGTTATAAACTGCACTGTACTGAGATAGGCAAAAGGGGTGGGGTGATGAGGAAGGAAAGGAGTAGAAATGTAAACCACTATTAGTTCAGCAGAAGAAGTAACTACAACTTCAGAATCTCCCACTGGTCAGCAAAATGGACATGGAAATCTGAAGCCATATCAGATGTTTCTGATAAATACAAGGAACCAATGCAAGCATGACTAATTTCTGATTTTCACCCTTTAACCCTGAAGAGATGTTCCCTATTCTTCTAAAATCCCTTACCCACAGATTTAGGCATGACAAATTCAAGAGCACCAGGATGGAGAGAAGCACACCACAAAAACCAGTGCTTCCACCCACACTTCTGCTCACGGAGAACCACCACACTTGGCTCTTCTCAGCTCACATACTGTAAAGGAGATGAGACTGTATTTCAAGCCAGTGGAATTACACGATGCTGGCAACTCATTTGCAGGCAAACAACAACTGAGCTTTTAAAAAAAAAAAAAAAAAAAAAGCAGAAGTTCAATAGGAACAATATATTAAAAAAGAAAACCATTTTCCCATTACAAACAGGCAATTGGCATATTCCTCTGTCCATTGTTCCAGATGCATTTATCCTGTCAGAAAAAAAAACTAATACAAAAAATTTAGCTCTTTAATTTAAATCTGGATGTCTCATTTATATCTTTGCAAAAACATAGGGCCCAGTCCTCCAAGCACTTTTCCACACTGAAGGGAACTATACTATTCTGTAAACACATCCTCAATCAGTACGTTAGAGTTTAGCTTTGATATAATAGCTTTTAACAGATTCAGATGGGTCAAGCTCTATTGTGCTGAGCAAACTCACTCTTCATGTAAATTCTTTTTTACATCTGAAATAGAATAAATGTTGAATTCACAAAAAAAAATCCACACATATCATGACTGATGACTAAACAGCAGCCCTATAATTATGCACACTGCTGCAAGAGCTTTTTTCTTCTTGACTACACAGAATATTTCTGTGCTATGTTAACACATAGAGCTTTTTTAATGGATGTGAAATTAAACCATGCAAAAGTCCTTTTATGACTCTAGAATTTTGGAAACACAAATAAATTAAGAATACTAGACGGCACTTCGCATGAGGAAATGACACACTAAGAATGAAGATACTGAAGAAACTGCCTTCAGTCCTCCTACTTGAAAAGTAAGAAAAAAAGAGATCATCTGGCTTGTAACCACCACGGATCTCATGACTAACTTCCCATTTCAGCTTTAAAAAAGGATTGAGATACCCTGGAGACGGGTGCCACAAAAATCTGCATTGAGAAGCAATGGAGAACCAATGTCTGTAAAATAGGGATCCAACACACGGCTCCTTCAGAAGGATAGAAGTTTTCCCATCAGCTTAGACAGAAATCAGGATTCAATTCAATCCACAGTACTTCAATTTGTAATTTTTACAAATTAAAAATGTCTGTCTCTCCGAAGCATTTCTCATTATAATCAAGATTCATTGAGACACCATCTACAGGCAAAGGTCTCATTAAAACTGACTGGGTTTAACATGTGTTAGTCTTACATATCAGAAGAATAACCAAGTGCT